AGAAAGAAAGAAAGAAAATTAAAAGAAAGAAGAAATGATTGAATTAATGCATGAAAAGAAATGAAAAGAAAAGAAAAGAAAAGAAAGGAAAATGAATGTGATAAAAGTAAAATAAAGATGAACAACCGAAAGAAAAGGAAATGAAAGAAAGATTGGAAGAAAATTAACAATAAAATAACTGATACAAAGAAAAACAAGTGAAAGAAAGAGAGATTCAAACAAAAGTAAAAATACGATAGAAACATGACAGAAATAATTAAAAAAAAAGAATGAAAGAAAAGTAATGAAAAGAAAAGAAAAGCATGAATGAAAGTAATGTAATAGAAAAGAACTAAAATAAAGAAAATGTAAGAAAGAATTCAAAAGATAACTAAAACAGAAAACAAACGAAAGAAAAATGGAAAGAAAATATCCAAAAAAAGTAATCGAAAAATTAACAGAAAAAAAGTAATCGAAAAATGTAATTGAAAAAAAGGAAGAAAAGTAAGTGAATTATTATGAAAAGAATGAAACTGAAAAAAAGGAGAAAGATAGTAAAAATAAAAAGAAAGAAAAAAGCAGAGAAATGGATCGTAAAAAACGGAAGAAAGAAAGAACAAATGAAAGAAAAACAAAAGAAAAGTAATCGAAAGACAAAAATGAAAATAAATCGATAAAAGATTTTTTTTATGGGGGAGGGCATCGTTGATAGAATATTATCTGAAGGAAAACCATTGCCTGCTCCAAAACTGAATTAAATCAAATAAAACCTAATCCTGTTACAACCGGAAAACAATGTTATTCGCATCTATCAACATTCGAAAGATAAGTATCACACCGCCATATTTGGCTGGTTGATTTAGGTGTTTCTTTTTTTTTCTTCTTCATTTTTAAATCATACACGCGCGATGATTGGCTGGCATAAGAACATACTTTTAGGAAATATTACGAAACGAATACCAAGAATAAATTAATGGAAAAAAGCAAAAAGCCAAGACACACAACGTACTGAACGACATTTGATTTTTTTAAGTGAGATTAGTACCCACAAAAGCGACCAAGTAATAGTTTTGTCATCTATATTTAGTTTTCCAATCGTTTCTTTCCAGCTTTGATAGAGTTTAAAAAAAATGGCAATTATCTTCCATTCTATAACTCCCTTTCCCACAGTCGAAATGTTGAAAACCTCTGACTATTCTATTGCTATTTCCCTGGCAAATGTTCCGACGAGTTGCAGTCTTTAATTCCACCAGTTCAGACCTTCACAACTAAAACTCCTCATGCCAGATAAACTGGGACAAATTAATTCCCATTCCCTTTGTATTCTAACCTCGTCAAGTCTATGATCAACCATTATGTTTCCTATATGAGGTCTGATCAAAAAGTATCGGCACTGGTGCTATAAAAAGAAAACTACAACACATATCAATTCGACATTTAATCTCCTTCAAAGTAGCACAGTTCTGAAACCACACATTTCATCCAGCGTCGTTTCCATTGACAGAAGCATTCCTGGAACTCCTTTTTTTGGGATAACGAGAAGCTGACATGTTACATTCTCTTAGTTTTCCTCGACGTCTTAAAATCTTCTTCCTTTCAAGTGGGATTTCGTTTTTGAAGAGGAAAAAGTTGAAAGTGGTGAGATCTGTGAGATATAGTTGTTGTCGGACCTGGGAAATATCGTACTTAGCCCAGAACTGCTGCTCAAGCCATGGTCACTGATAGAACCTATGCGGTGTGGTGAGACGACCACCCTCTACACACTTTCCTTCCAAGCAGTACTATAAACAATGGAAGTGAGCAAGAACGTTATATCCTAGCGCACGCGCGACAGAATTCAAGGTCAATTCGTGCCAAGCGGTTTCTGGCTCCGTTACCATAGCAATAGTCCCGATACCTGTAATATGTATCTCTTCTACCTCCTATATTCATACAGTAAGCTTCTTCTTTGAGTGGCTCTTTGGCCTTTCCTCGATGGAAAAAAATAGTTAATAAAAATAACCAAACCTCCTGTAGACTAACGATTTGGATTGTGAGTGGTAACTTTCACTGCGCAATTTTATCTATTACAGCCATCAGGAGTGCCACTATTGTTAAAGTCTTCAATATTTAATCAATATATGTTTGTATCAGAGAGCTTCTATTACTGCTCTCAAGATACAGTTGTGAAGATGTGTTTTGCAAATAAATCTTGTAGATCATTACCAGCATAATGAGTTCAAGTCACCCTGGGGTGGGGAGCTACACTTAGGTCTAGTGTTATACTCTGATAAAATTAACGTTTTATTTTTTTCCCGAACGTCCGCTACGAAAGCGGTATGGACGGAAAATATACCAACTGTGTCTTTATCTCTTCTTTCGTTCTTCAGCCAGGGACAAGTCGTTTCCCTTTTCCCTTTTCTTAGTCCACAACGAACCGCGTGTCGCACAACAAAATACCATCACTACACTCTCTCCCATCTGAAAAGAAAAAAAATCCTCATGCGATCGCAGTGCCAAATAACGGAGACAGCATCACTTGAGGACTTTCAAATACAGCAGCAGCTAAAATGGATATCACATTTAGCTCAAAGAGAAAATAATGACATAATCAAGATGTTGACATTCCACACTACTTCAAACAAAAGGTTAGGAAGGAAACCCCTATCAATACTGGAAAGGGAGAAATATGCACTTCCTGCTTCCTTATTCCTCTTTAATCAAATTTAATTATAAATGAATTATATAGTCATAAAAATAAAAATTCAGGATGTGGAATTAGTAAATATTAAACGCTACAAATACCTCGGTATTGTCCTTTCTGCTCACTAAAGTTTTCTCATTCTCTTTCACTTCCAATAACCCTTTGCATCTTAGTGGCATTATTGCCTTATTTAGGAAACAAAAAAAAAATGCTGCATTAGAGGTAGTTTCAACCAACACTGCAAATTGCTACAAAACCAAAAACATTAACCTAAAAACAAGTTATATTCTTAAATAGCCTCAACAGATTAAGACTTTCATTTTGGATGTCATGCATGGTACCAAACCTGTTAAGAAATATTTAAACTGCATCAATGATTAAAATTGGCTTCGAGCGAATGAAGCCTGTTGGTCTTGGTGAAGACCACGCTTTTTGAAACTTGTAGACTGGCGCTACAGAATCATAAACAAAGAACTGTGCCAAATAACCGAGACAGCATCACTTGAGGACTTTCAAAGACAACAACCGCTAAAATAGATATCACATGTAACTCGAAGAGAAAATAATCACATAATCATGATGTTAACATTCCACACAACTTCAAACAAAAGGTTAGGAAGGAAACTCCACATTAATACTAGAAAGAGCGATAACAGCTACTGGACTTAAGAAACCTATTTTCTTGAGAAATTGTTTTAAGAGAAGATGTTATAAATTTCAACTGACAATAGTACAAGCTGCCCGGTCAATGAGTGCCAAATGTTTCCTCATAAGGAAACGGCTAAAATTAGCATTTCCGTTACTATTATCTCGGGAGATAAAGGTAGTACTCTATTTGGTCAATATTCAATCCTGTTGTGAATATCACCTTGGGTGACGCAACAATCCGAATTTTTGCATGTCAGTCTTCTGCAGGCGTGACAGAAAGAAATAAATAAATAAAGAAAGATTATAAGTAAAGGCGAGAAAGAAAGAATACTAGGAAAGCTAAGAAAGAATATTAGTAAAACAAAGAAAGAAAGAAGTAAAAAATATGAGTAAAGGTAAGTAAAAGAAAGAAAGACAGAAAGAAATACTATAAGTAAAGGTGATAAAGAAAGAAAAATGAAAGAATATTATTAAAGGTGAGAAAAAAGAAAGAAAGAAAGAAAGAAAAAAAGACAGACAGAAAGAAAGAAAGAAAGGAAAGAAAAAGAATATAAATAAAGGTAAAAAAGAAAAAGTTAGAAAGAATATAAGTAAAAGAAAGAAAGCCAGATGATAAGTAAAAGAGACAAAGAAAGAAAGAATATTAGTAAAGGAAGTAAGTAAGAAAGAAAGAAAGAAAGAAAGAAAGAACGAAGGAAAGAAAGAATATAAGTAAAGGTAAAAAAGAAAAAGGTAGAAAGAAAGAATATAAGTAAAGAAAGACAGACAGAAAGAAAGAATATAAGTAAAAGTAAATAAAAGAAAGAATTGCTATAAGTAAAGGTGAGAAAGAAAAAAACTATAATTTACGACGTGAAAGAAAGAAAGAAAGAAATTCTATAAGAAAAGGTGAGAAACAAATATTATTAGTAAAGGTAATTAGAAAAAAGAAAGAAAGAATATAAGTAAAAGGTAAGTAAAAGAAAGAAAGAATGAATGGCTATAAGTAAAGGTAAAAAAGAAAGAAAGACTATAAGTAATGGCGAGAAAGAAAGAAAGAAAGAAAGAAAGAAAGAAAGAAAGAAAGAAAGAAAGAAAATCTATAAGTAAAGATAAGAAAAAGAAAAAAAGAAAGAAAGAAAGAATAGGAATTCCTATAAATAAAGGTGAGAAAGAAAAAATATTATGAGTAAAGGTAAGGAGAAGAAAGAAAGAAAGAAAGAAAGAAAGAAATACTACAAGTAAAGCTGAGAAAGAAAAGAAAAAGAATGAATATGAGTAAAGGTAAGAAAAAAGAAAAAAGAAAGGTAGGAAGAAAGAATATAAGTAAAGGTAAAAAGAAAGAAAGAAAGAAAGAAAATGAATGAAATCGAGGAAGAAAGATAAATAAAAGAAAGAATGAAAAAGTGAAAATTAAAAAAGAAAAGAAAAAGATGATAAGTAAAAAGAAATAAAACTTGTAAGATGCAAATTTTGTTCACGCCGAAAAAAAGAAAAAGAATATCCTGTTTTCCACTCTTCTCTTAAATATGTATTTAAAAATAATCGGGTATAAGGCCACGACTTTGCAGTATTTGGTGAATATCGAGCTACTTTAGCTAACAATAGTTTCCTAATCCTCGCACCAGCATAGCACATGAACCTAACCCCGGCGCTCTCGATGAGTATCGAAACCTTGTAATAGTCTAAGCGAATACCTTGTTAGTCATTG